AAGGTTGAAGCCAATTTTGAGTATGAGAAAGTGATTCATGACTTTTGAATGACTCAGGTTGGTAGGAAAGACATGAAGCCTGGGCTCATATTTTAACTAAATATATACCGTTATCTAAAATGCATGATCTGATTGACTTTGACCTCTTTTGAATGAAATGATGTGAAGAGACGGAAAAAGCACCACAGTCTGAAGAAAACAAGATATTAGGAAGCTTTTAAATATCATCCATGTATTCTTCACTGCAGCTTTGGTATTAAATAGAGCTTCAGTTTTCTTCATTGCATTAAATAATTTGAGATAGGTGGCACATGTCATTTGCATCCAAAATGATAATGAAAACAAAAATATGACATTACCCAAACTCCTTTAGGATTCTACTGCAAGGTCAAAGCCTGTCACTTTATACAAATACTATCCCTCCATAAAGGAACTGGAAAATGAATGATTAATTGCAGATGAAGGACTAGAATCATATGCAGCCTTTTTAGAGAGAAAAAGGAAAGAGAAGGAAAATCAAGACATCAGCTTCTGTACTATAGCTGTTTTTAGACATATTCAGTATAACTGTAGAAAACTCCAAAGTTCTGGGGTGAAAGACAAAGAAACTTTTGCTGATAGCACAATGAATGCTCTGACAGATTTTGAGCTGTAAGATGAGACTCTTAATTACTAGGTTATGATCTTAAAAAGTTGCACAGCGTAACTGAAGAAACCTAGAAATAATATTGTATCTTGATGTATATTGCTTAGGAGTGTTACTAAAGTAATGCCCTACAAAACAACACAAAGGATAAGAAAATAAGAAAATGAGAGCAACATTTGACAATGAATACACTTTGACAGACCAGCATCCATTTCAAGTGCAACACAGCTGGAGTGCATAAAATGTTCTTTGCATGATAGAGAGTTGTAGCCATTAAGATATTCAGTTTTAACAGAAGTGAGAATACAGAACAGAGCGCTTTTTGGAACACACAAAAACTCTGGGCAGCACTTAAAATCTACAGGTACATTACTCCAAGTTACTGAATAAATGTTAACTAGGAATGGCTTCTTTAATGAATGTGTTCATTTATTAAGCTTTTCTTAGTATTAGTTCTTTTGCAAAAAGCTAAGTGCTTACAATAAAACAAAATGTCAGAAAAGGAGGTAATTATGAATCTAAAATATGACTTCTATTATTTTATTAACTACCAGTTATACAAACCAATTGTAATTTGTTTTTCAGTAACTTTATATATATTGGTCAAAAATAGCCTGGCATTTAAGAATATCATCCTACCCTTCTTAACCAAGCACAATCTTATTGTGCCATCAGCAAGAAAGTTCTCTCCTAGTAAGAATTAGAAGATTATGCTAAATGAGTCTAAGATTCTGATGTCAATCAGTGTGGGGGGAAATACATGTTTTACAGCTGCCATTGTACCTACTCATTTTTTTAAAGGAGTAACTATGTTTTTTTACCTTCACTGCTCTTTTGGGTGTCTCAGCCAAGATAGGAGGGAATATTCCTTTGTAGAAGCCAAGCAACCTATTGAAGAAACAAATAAATTACTTTTGTGTGGATAAACAAAGGAGCATTACCAAAATGGCAATTCTGTTTTCACTTTTGAATAAAGTAAATAACCCTTCAGTGTTTTCAAGCATATAGATGAACCCTTCTAGTTAATAGTGACACTCTCGTTGCTTACTTGTTAGGTAAGCAACATGCTACCAATTCTGTTATGTGCTGGTGAGACAGCCAAAAAACATCAATAAGCAAGTAAAAATTCAGTCCTTGTATCCTGAATAGACAGAAAATTATATTTAAATGAGGAAGTATAGTTTTGACAATGAAGGGGAAGCATTATTTTATTGTATTCATTTTCTTGCCATAGTAATGATGATGATATTAAAAACTGAGATCACAAAATACAGACTTGGAAAAAAAAGTGACCTCACAAAGTTGCATACAAAAAACCTGCATGCTTATCTTGAGATATCTTTTAAAGTTTTTTCCTAAATGTGCCTTGAACTATATGAAGTGCTTGTTATTTGACAACTTACTTTTAAACACACGTTAGCTATTTACAGGAGAGGTAACAGAATACATGTATTTCATATTGGAAAAAACATTTGGGCATCTCTTTACTTTATTTATACAGGTCTTTGCGCTTGTCTTGGTGCCTGGCCCCATTAAGGGGCCTGGCTAAGGATCTACAATAGCTGCTGTCTTTGGGCGTTAGGATTAGAGCCAAAACCCAACAGGTTGCAGTGCTCAGCATTGCATCATCTAGATTTTATATGCCTGCCCTCCCAGAGCGGAACACAGAACTGTGACTCTATCAAACACCACAGAGCAGAAAGGCTTCAGGATCAAGCTGGAGGTCAGCTGGCAGAAAGTACCTCAGAGCGCACTCACAACCTTCACTAGGGTAACCCAGGGGATACTCCAAAAAGGACAATCTAAGGTATCCCCTGCGCTTTACAGCACACTTAAGAACATACTTTCTGGTACTGGAAAGAATGCCAGAACGCTCTGTGACCTACCGATCCCATCTGCCATCCTGACAGCACCACCTGGCTAACACATAACCGGGAAAATGGCTGATGACAAACACAATAGTACATCTGTATTGCCTGCCACAAGGATACATGGTACTTGCAGATAGCCTGAACTCAGCTTACAAGGCCAATGTGGAGGTATGAAGCTGGGTCTTGCGAATGCATTAAGTATCAGATAGTTCTCAAGATCACCGGGTCAGGTAAGAGCAGACATCGCTCTTGTGTGCTCGGCCTCCATATTACCTATGTAGTGCACACGGAAAGTTCAGAATGACATCTAGCACAATCAGCAAGACAAGGTTATATCTTACAACTTATCCATCTTTAGAGCTTGTATACTTCTTTCATGACCACAAGACAACGACCACAGAAGAATCACTTTTTGAAGCAAAGCACTTGTATCTTGTCTTTAAAATGCTGGAAGATGGTGATTCACCTTTATAAAATGGCCAATTACTTTGAATACTTCTGCAGGATGTGGAAAAGTCAGTAACAGTCTCTCATGGTTATCCTGTGCTCATCAAAGGTAAACAATTAAATTCACCCACACCCCCACCATAAAATATCACAACTGCTATATTTTCTTTTCCTCCCTTCTTCTGATGCCTCTCTGAAGCCCTCTCCTGAAACTGCTCCTATGTAAATAAAATAATTTTGGCTTTGTAAGATGTTCCACAGTGGGTATATTGTTTATGTTTCCTCTGGAGTGATGAAGTTATGGATTCCAGTCCATGACAAAAGGGAACTTTTGGCATTTTATACAAGTTTTCATGTCAAAATACTGAAAGTCCTTGGAGTAAGAGATTTCAGGAATTCAGTTTAGGAGTTAGATGCTTAAATTTCCGCTAAGTCTCACTGCAGTACATATACATGTAGCTATATGTATACTGGATTCAACCTCAACCTTTAAAGGTTTACACATATTCAGAATATATTCTTGCTGATTCAGCAAGCTATTGAAATGTTAAATAGCTTTAAGCATGTGATTCATGCAGTTTAACCTGAGTTCAAACTGAAATTGAGGTCCAAGTAGGATCAGCTACAAGAACACAGATCCCTATAAACACATTCTTCTTTTCAGCTCAGCCTAAAATATCGTAAGCATATCTACAACAGGCATCCTGTTTAGGATTTCTAGTGCTCCAGCATAATTGGAATTGGAAGATGAAAAGTGCTCCGCTGCTCTACTCACAGGTGTAGCTCTGGCTACAGAAAAGTGAGACCTAACCTTGGTCCAGATTTTCTCATTATTAAAAGATGCATAAGCAGAGAAATGGGCAATGTAAAGCAACAACTCTGTTCTAAAAACAAACAACAGCACTATCTAGCCTTACATAGCAGTACAGGTTGCTTTTCCAGTGCTGCTTTATGTATATGCAAATATATACAGTTACTGAATACATAAATCCTGTAATGTTCCCATAGTCTCTGAGGATCCCAGGGAAAACCGTCCAGCGAAAATGTGGAAGGGAAAGACATAGCAGGAATCCGAAAGGCAGATCTACCAAATCAGCCATCTTGGGAGGCAAACAATTGCTTCTGCAAAGGAATCCACCATTCTATCACACGTGGGTGCTGACATACCAGCTCTACAGGCCAGGCTGTGGGTTGTTTGAAAATGTTGGAGAAATAGGAACTAAAAATATGAAAAACAATTATCCATTGATCCTGAATCACTGTGCATGCCGTGTCAAGTTGATCTGCTTATTGCAGCTGTAAGGCTAACACTGAAGGTTCTCCACTGGAGGAATCTCTTCTGTGAACCAGGAGAATCTGCCGAGCTCAGCAACTTTATTCATGGCCCTAGGAATCCCTAAAATTTTAAGGGATCTATAACTGAGTTTCACTGCTTTACGCCTTCTTTCTTTTGTGGGGTCAAATCTCATCACAAAAAACATACAGGAAGGGGTTAAGATCTATTCTTATGGAACAGTAAGTTTAGAAATCTAGAAACACATGACAACTTTGAGTACACACACACACACACACACACACATATATATGCAATATATAAGTCAGTAAACACAGTAAGAACTAGCTCAGTATTTAATTATGAAATGTGGTTTGGTTTTTTTCCCCTCTATTTGAAACAGAAATAGAAAAAAGGTTAAACAGCATAATTAGTGAGATGAAAGAAATATGAAAAAGGAGGAACTAGAAGACAATCCCATCTCATCATCAATCTAGTTATTGTCAGCTGGCTAAATTTTTGCATAAAGCATAGTCTCTTTCAGAAACTTCTGTGTCTGAGATGGAGGTAAAGCAGCTGCCCCCATCTTTTCCGTATAATGTTTTACAAGCCTTGCCCATTAAAGATATAATTATTTGACATCTTTGCAGAATGAGTTATTTATTTATTAAAATAGAACTAGCATGATACTAATAAAAACAGTAATGGCTCCCACGTCAGCTACACACAAAGATTTTATGGTTTCTTTTTTTACCTTGGTCAGTAACAGTGTATTAGCCTACTGGCACATGCTACGTAAAATTTTTCAAAGCCAGCTAATGAATGGTGATGACATCTCACATTTGAAAGATATTATCACCTGGATGCAGGCCTTCATCAGAAACTCTGCAAAATTATGGAACAGCAGCAGCAATCACTGCATTATGTGATAGAAGAGAGAGGACGTGACATCATATCCCCACCTAGAAACATTGGAAAGAATTAACAAGTAAATCTCTAACAGAAACAGAACTACATTTTATTTTGTTTCAGCATTAAGGATCTAAATGAACATCACCATCCAATTGTATTCTGGGCAACAGCCCAAACTCATCTTTAGAATAGTTGATTTTGAAACATTACAGTCAATCATATCATCTCAATTTGTTCTTTGTTCAGGCTTTCGCTAGTCTTCTGGTTTCCATTTCTTGTTTGGAAACCTTGAGTCATTCACCCTGGCAAGATGACCAACCTAAATCAGTTATTTTCACTAAATTATATTGAAATTGGGATCTTGCTTAGTTTGTTGTTTTCTTCCTCTGTCTTTCACATAATTTTCTCTTTAAGGATCTAATAAAGTTGATTGAAGACATGAACACAATATCCTTTTCTTCTAGTGATGTCAAATCCAAGTTTCTTACCCACATTGTTTTATAATTAAAACAAAATACCTCTTACGTTCAGTTCTGCTTCCAGTACCACTGCGTTATTCCAAATTTAAATAAAAAATCTGGGTTTCATGACTATGCCAGTTAAATTAAATGGAATGTGTAACTTTCTGATTTTACCAAAAAATTTATTTCAACAAACGGAAGGAATTTTGAAGACATATATGGAGGAAGGGTGGATGTTCTTCAAAGGAAGGAAGGATACATTTTTAAATGTAATAAAATTTGCTTAAACTTTTATTTTTACCAGGAAAAAAGTATCTTCTTATTTCATGGCATGTAGCTTGTTGTGAATTTATTACTAACAGAAAGTAAAAACTACTGAAGACAGGGCAATATTGCTTTAATATATGTTACCAGTGAGAAGTAATCTTTATCTCGACCTGATTAGAAATATCGAAGATATTAAATTCCCAGAAGTTTCAGGAAAACTGGCAAGCACTTATTGAAGTGAGATGTAAATTAGTAACTCCCACTGAGAAGAAGAAACTCACCATTTATTCTGAAAGGAGCAACCAGTCAGCCAACTGGCATACCTGTAGTTCACCTCAATTACAGCGCCTATAACCATTTGCCCAGCTGAAAATGTAGAATACAGGGAAAGTTGGGTGTTGTGCAGGGGGAATGTGAACAGAGCTCAGCATACTTGAAGAAGATATTAAAGACTGGGCACATTTAGAGAATACCAGGCTTCAACGTTCTGATGCTCTCCAACAAGCATTTTCTTGTGAAGTGTGCTATGTATATGTATATTATTGTGAAGTATGTTATGTATATTATCCCACTGCAAATATCAAATGCATGTCACTAGAGAAATATCAATAAAAGCTATCACTGACAGCCAAGTTAGCCTCTGAATTTCTATGCAACTCACAGTACAGGTAGCACTTTAGCTAAAGTGGTAGCACTTTAGACACCAGCACTAAATACTAGGTACTTATTTTCATAATATATTTCATTTTTCTCACTGAGCTCTCATTCATCAAAATCACCATTGGTTACAACACAGGGGAATTAAGGAAAAAGGTGATTTTTTTATAACAAGTAAATGTAGTCCAGAATTACATATTAGCATGTGGCTATGCTGATGTTATACTATATGCTAAAAGAAGACTGAGGGTCCAGCTATAACAACACTAGAACTTTTCATTTCAATTAATGAAAAAAACTCCCCAAATAAATTAAGGTAACATACAGTAGGAAAGCTGTAAAATTGGTTTTAACTGACTGGTTAAAAAGGAGAAGACTGACAGTGAAAGGTACTCTTAAAGTAGTTTAGAAAAATACTGAACAGAGGAGGAGCTGGCTCAGAAATGATTAGACCAGCCAAGAAATGGATTAATAGTCAACATCAATCTACCTCACTTATTCAGAATGACGGTCATCACCATATTTACTGCATGTGGGTCAGCTTATGAAATTATTATGATCCACCATCCATGTGGCTTTGTTATTCTTACGAGAAATGGGTCCTTCTTCCATGACTTTCAATCACCCTCTCAATCTCTCGCTCAAAATCCTTGCTAATTTTTGGCTTTCTAGGCTGTACTCTGAATTTAAATAGGACACACTTAAAAATAAATTCCTCCTCTTGTTCTGCCTTTTTGTTTCAAAGATGATTATAAATTAATTAAGTGGTACATTGTTACCATGTATTGTTTGAGTAACAGATTCATATATACTAAATTTATTGGGACTCGTTTAAGTTTGGATAGTGAAATCTATTTCAGACAGAACAATTAACGAAAAGAGCTAAGATTAAAAGTGTGTTAAATTAAAGAAGTGATTTGTCATATGGCTGTCAGAAACAGTTCAGTCCCCCACAGGGTAGACCACCATGCCTTGGCATGGCTGCAGGCCAGTGCTACTCACTTTGCAAGTGCCAGGGCCTTTAAGGCTGGACTGACTGCTGCTGCCCAGGGAGGAAGCAGGCTATATGGGATGATGGCAATTGCTGGTGGTGAAGAGATAGACCTTGCCAGCTGCAATAATCTGTGCTTCCTTCCACTTCTGCCACTCTCCGGCAGGAGAAGCAGCACAGCTCACTCTCCAGGGTTGGTACCACCTTTCTCTAATCTCTGTTAACGCTTTTCTAGTACTCTGGCCCCCCATTGCCAATGAATGAACGTCTGCGTTTGAGAGCCCTTAAGCTGCTCTCTGTTTGATGTGATTCCTGTTGAAATCAATGCAAATGGCAGCGCTACCGTCACTGGCAGCTGGACTAGGCTTTTACAGAATTGCCTGGGCGTAATCACTAGCTAGGCTGTAGAATGGGTCTGCATGTCCCACAGCTTGCAACTGACAGCATTTTCCTCCTCAAGACTTCCCTCTAACTGCCCCTTTGTTTGCAGTAGGAATAAGCGACAGACATGCCAAAACAGCTTTGCCTAGAGCTTCTGAAACAGAAAAATTCTTCATTGCATTTTGGACTGTCAG